TCTTATTAATATATAATATATATTTTATTTTATTATATGTCAAATATTAAAAATAATTGACTGAAAAAAATTAAAATTAAACAAATATTCTGAGATGGAGGTACTAAAATTTTAAAATAAAATTTATAACAAAGTATATTTGATAACTTAAATGTTTCTAAAATATCCAAGATAGGAGTTTCATAATTTTTTTTGAATAATAGTTAATATATATGTACATTACCAATCATGATCATACATATTACCAAAAACGTAAAAAGTATAGAATAATGCTTAGGTGTAGTGTCTTACTATCTCAATGTGAACTCCTATTTAGAGAAAAAACATAAAAATTCCTATTTTGATATTTTTTATGTTATACTCCAATTTAGGGTGATTTCTAAAATAAAAAATTTTAATAATAAAATATTTTATCAAATAAGTTATAAAATAGTAAAAACAAAACTACTGCATTAAGGGTCTATTTTTTGGGATTGGAAAAAAGAGTTGAATGTTAAAGGAAATGGAAAGAAACTGGAAGAAATTGGAATGAGTTTGATTTTGAAAGAGCCGGAAAAAAAGTAGAAAGAAACTGGAAGAAATTAGATGGAACTCGAAAAACTAGAAACAATTGGAAACTTTAAAATAAACTTAAAAAAAACATATCTACGTTCACTTTTTGGGAAAAATTGACAATAACACTCCGACAAAGTTCGGATTTTACAAAAATACTCCGAAAATCAATTAATTACACCATTACTTCCAAAATTGCTCACGTTTTACGAAAACACTTCACCCACCACCTTACTTGCACAATAAAATTGTGAAGTATCTAAATGGATTTTTTGAGTTGATGATTTGGAAACAATTGTTAGACGCCTCGCACACCTCTAGAGGGGGGTGAATAGAGGTGTTGCCCAAAAGATCGGTTTTTAGCGCGGAAACGTTCTTCACGAATATTCAACAAAAAATAATGCACCACAAACAAAATAGAGTGAAGGATAAGAGTAATGCACACACAATGTATACTGGTTCGACCTAAATGCCTACATCCAGTCCCCGAAGCAACCGTGCCCAGGCCTTAACTAGCCCGTCAAACTTGACGGAGTTTGACAATCCGAATACAACTCGAGAACTTGATTTCACAAGCCTCTTATCTTACCACCGAAGTTTTGATTTCACAAAACTTAGGATTTCTTCCACCTAACGTTTGATTTCACAAACCGTTAGAATTTCTACCACTTGGTGTAATCCCAACACCAAGAATACGAATCCCTTACAATAAAGTAAGAAAACAAACCGCAACCGAGTAATTCTCCCAACACGGAGTAGATTGTTGCAAATACAATGAAGTCCTTTAGAATATGACAATATCTCTCAAAGACTCAAGCAATGAGGAAAAACTCAAGCAAGAAATAATTTAGCAATCAAAACAATTGCTTTGCTTGGATATAAGGAGGGATTTGAGTAGAATCTCTTTGGATATTCAAAACATATTTTCTTCAAAGTGTTCTAAGTGCTCTTATAAAGAAAATCACGAAAGTATGTTGTTTATAGAAGTTAGGGAGTGGATAGGGATGAAAAGCATTCAAAAAATTAGCCGTTTGGTAGTTGAATCTGTCGACTTATTCGAATAATTCAAGAACTATTCGAATAGTTTGGATCAATCGCGTGGCTTGAAAAAACCAGTTCCTATTCGAATAATTGGTGATTTATTCGAATAAATCAGGTTGAAAAATCAGGACTTATTCGAATGAATGGCGATTTATTCAAATAAATCAGGTTGATTTTAGTCATAGGAAAGATCACGACCTATTCGAATAAACTAAAGATGATTCGAATAGAAAAACAATTTTCCCACACAAAAGCTGATCTAAAATGTGTTTTAAAGGTAGGATGATAAGGGAATGAACCTTAGAGATGCCATACTCTTTAACACATAATCTAAGACCTAAAACACTACCCAACTAAGGAAACAACCTCTTCGGTCTCGTTTCTTCCACCGATGCTCAAGTCCCTTCTACACGGACGGATATGAACTTGTTGTAGCTTTGATTCTTAGCCTTGATGCACAATATGATGATGATATTTTGTCACCCTTTTGTCATTATCAAAACCTAAAAGACAATGGGCAAAGGACATTGCAAAAATATATATGCATGATAGCACATTGTCCAACAACAATCACTTTTTTATTTACATAAAAAAATAAATCAGTTATCCACCTTTAGCTCAAATATTAATCATGTCTTTCACAATTAGGGCATGTCATTTTCGTTTGAAATATTAAAGTTGAATATTTGAAGAAACTGAAAAGCGTTGGAGAAAAAAAGGCTAGAAGTTAACTTTTCAAAATCCAAAAGAACAAACTTTTCAAAATATCAATCTAAGAGATTGATATTTGAATTGCAGGGAGAATAAGTAGTTTATTTTTTTTGTATGAAAGCTGAAAAATGTGATTTATTTTCCAAATCATATATTTTAAAACATAAGTTTATTTTAAGATTCATTGCACTCAATTTGTGTTGCATATTAGTATAATGAAATAAAAACTTGAAATTTTTCAACAAGATAATTTTTATTACGTTATTTTTATATAAATATATTACAGTTTTTATTTAATTGAAAATCAAGTTTCATTTAATTTAAATCAAAAAACTGAAACTAACAAATACACTGGGACAAGAGAGCAAAAGGCCCAACCTTTATCCATAGACCTTATATGAACAATTAAAATACTTAGAGTCTGTTCTTTAGGTCTTAAACTCTTAACTCCCAGTTTCTTCCAGTTCTACTTTCTTCCAACTCTTTCGGTTTCTTCCAACTGTTTTTATTTTATTCAACCATTTTCTACTCCCTAACCAATTATTCCAAAAACAACATATTTTTAATGTTATTATTATTACAACTGTTGTGTCCATAAACATAGTTTATAAATTGTTTTTTCTTCTCATTATTTTTACGATTCACACTCATTATTTGTTCTTCAACTTTTTAATTTGAATAAGACAATTTTTTGTCTATTAATCTACATGATAAAACAGGAAAACATCAATATTTTAAACTATATTAAAAAATTATGAATAAAATAGTTACATAGAACGTTTTATTAATCTAGCTTTTTATAAGACCCTCACATTCCTTTTATTACTCAATTTTTTCTCTTTTTTCTATATTTAATAAAAAAAATTGAAAGTCAAAATAGTTTAGAGAAAAAAGACTAAAATAGAAGTAAAACACAAAATTCTGAAAAAAAGTTCCATGTCTTTATTCCATAAATAGGAGTTACAATGAAAATAAAATGTCAATCATGAAAAAATAGGTTTGATTACATTATGTGACATGTCTGATATATAAAACAAAATCTTATAATATATAAAATATAATAACAAATATATTATTTACAATAAATACTGCCTAAATAAATTGAGATGCAACGTAACCACAATAACTTTTTAAAATTTAACATTTTGATATTTATGCTAACTTTATATTCTAATTATTTTATTTGCAAAAGTAGTTTTTTGTGTATGAAAAATAACAATCGTTTTTTATATTAAAGACATTCATTAAGATAATGTAATGATGATGATAGTAATAATAATAATTTATAAAAACAAAAATTATAATTTGAATAATATAAAAATACACTAAAATAATTTTTTTTAGTTTTTTAATGTTTGAAAGTTTTTCCAGTTTCTTCCCGTTTCTACCAGTTTCTTCAAGTTTCCACCAGTTCCTTGCAGTTTCTTCTAGTTTCGTCTAGTTTCTTCTAAAATCCACCTTTTTTTTTCCAGTCCTAAAGAACAGGCTCTTATACTTCATCCGTTCATAAATAAAGTTTCCGTTGCGCATTACGATGTTTGACTGAATTTATTTTCAAATCATTTCATATGTAAAATGGTATGAAATTAAAAAATTAAAAAATACATATTTAAAAAAAACATAAAAGGATCTACAAAACAAGCGGTGACATGACTATATTAATTTATCAAATAGGACATGAAAATAGGCAAACAAAGTGAGTAAAATTTGATTATACAAACAGTGAACGAGAACTTTATTGTTGTTATAGTTGGAAAGTACAATTGTGGAGTAATTAGACTTTTAGTTAAAAAAAGACTAATAATTACGTGTCCGAGAACTATCAAGAGTATGTGTGTGCATTATTCGGTCCGGACCCGGACTGACCCGAAGTCCGGCCAAAACCGGACCGGACCGGTCCGAACCAATCCTTATTCGGTCCATTCTTCAGTCCTCATTTTTTCCTTATTCGGGTTCCGGTCTAGTCCGGCCCCGTCCACTGGGTTTCTCTCCAGACCAGTGGACCAGTTACATTTTATTTTTTTAAATATTTTTTCTATATAGTTTCATTATATTGTACTTTTTAAAGGTTTTTTAATATACTTATAATTAATTTAACTTTAATACTAATTTTTTAAAATGTCTTGATCTTATTATTTAATATAATTTTTTAAATATATTTTCAATTCAGAATAAGATACCAATTCTAATGAATTTTAAATATTTTTAATATGAAAAGTGTGAAAAAGTAAACATTACTTTTATATTAGGGATCTAATGCATTTCAAATTTATGTACCAATGTTATTACTTAAATTTTTACTTTATTAATAATGAAACTTTAATCCGCAAAAATAAACATTGTAAACAATCTAATGAACAAAAATTGTAAAAAATATGTCCGTTTGCCAAAATAAATTGAAAAATATAAAAATATTACAAAAAAAAAGTCAATAAGAAGAAGAATTTTCTCCACGTAAAATAAAAATTATGAACAAATTTTATGTACTCCGTATTATGGATGGAAAATATATATTTTATTTAAAGTTTTTAAAAAAATTAAAAACAACAGTTTAGACAATGTTTAGTGTATGTTATAATTAAAAATTAGTTGTAATAATATTTTTATTCAATTAAATACTTTAAATTAAATAAATAAAATCAATTTTTAAAGAAAAATTGAAAATAACATTTATTTGGTCCTGGTTTACCCTTCGAGAGTATCCGATCTTCCTTAAAAAAAAGAGTATCAGATCTATTCTACTCTCTATAAATATCGGATCACTGCAAAAATGGCATCCGATTCGCATGCAACAGAGCTCCCCGTGAAGGCTTTTGGATGGGCGGCAAGGGACACCTCCGGAGTTCTTTCCCCTTTCAATTTCTCCAGAAGGTATTCCCATATTCTCTGCCTTTTTACCCCGAAAACCTCGAGTTTATTTATTTAGCTATGGAGTGATTTTATCATTGGTCAGTTTCCGTGCACAGGGAAACAGGGGAGAAGGATGTTCAGTTCAAGGTTTTGTATTGTGGAATTTGCCACTCAGATCTTCACATGCTTAAGAACGAGTGGGGTTTCACTGCATACCCCGTTGTTGCCGGGTAAGATCCATATTCACTCTCAGATCCATATTTTTTGCATTTGATAATATGTTGAGACTTCAAGCCTGTCTATATAAACTATAAATTCACCTTTTGATTGGCGAAATATTTGATTTGTGGTTTCATATCTCATGCTGCAGGCATGAAATTGTTGGGGTTGTGACTGATGTCGGGAGCAAGGTTGAGAGATTTAAGGTCGGAGATAAAGTTGGTGTGGGAGGTCTGGTCGGATCCTGTCTAGAGAACTACTGCCCCACAAGTGTAGGGACTTACAATGATTTAAGATCCACCACTTACGGTGGTTTCTCCGACATCATGGTCTGTGATGAGCACTTTGTGCTCAATTGGCCGGAAACTTTGCCGATGGAGGCAGCTCCTCTGTTGTGTGCCGGGATCACAACTTACAGACCATTGAAATACTTCGGACTGGACAAGCCAGGAATGAACATCGGAGTTGTGGGTCTCGGTGGTCTTGGGCATATGGTTGTCAAGTACGCCAGGGCTTTTGGGTCCAAGGTGACTGTCATCAGCACCTCTGCCGGTAAAAAGGAAGAGGCCATCGAGCGTCTTGGTGCTGATTCCTTCTTGGTCAGCCGTGACCCTGAACAGATGCAGGTAATTGATTGATTAAATAGTAGTAGTTGTTAGGAGTAAATTTCTTCTTATTATTAATTTTTCAAACAATGATGGTGATGTTGATGATATGGTTTTTGTATGTATAGGCTGCAGCGAGCACACTTGATGGCGTAATAGACACAGTTTCTGCGGTTCATCCAATTTCGCCCCTACTAAGTTTGTTGAAGACCAATGGAAAGCTTGTATTGGTTGGTGCCCCGGAGAAACCCCTTGACTTGCCGGCGTTTCCCTTGATCATGGGTAAGCCACATTTCCATGCATGTCTTCGTAATATCTCCATCTTGGCAGCTGGCATCCTTTTTTTGTCTAGCGCGTGTAAATGGTAATCTCAGATTAACTAAATGATGATATTTTTATGTTGTGACGGTGGATCACAGGCCGGAAAATAGTTGCCGGAAGTTGAATTGGAGGAATAAAAGAGACTCAAGAAATGCTGGACTTCTCTGCAAAGCATAACATCACGCCCAATGTTGAGATTGTGCCCATAGACTATATCAACACAGCCATGGAACGCCTTGCCATAGCAGACGTGAAATACAGATTTGTATTGGACATTGGCAAAACACTAAAATCTGCTTGAACGATATGGTGTTCAGATGCATGTCTTGGGCGGATCTGAGTCTTTAAATTGTAGTGATGCCATGTGGCATCCATGTGTTCAATATTTGCTGAGTGTATTGGTCATTTGTCTTCTTGTCATCAATTGAGTTTCTACCCTATCGTCTTCTATCGGCTATCTCTACGGCAGAGTTCTTGAGGTCCGTATCTGTAATTGCCACCTTCATTCGTTGTCCTCTGTAATTTACATAACTGTGGTGGTAGGGCAAAGCCCAAAACCCTTTTGTACTATCAATTCTGAGATAGATGCCGCTTTATTTGGCTTGCCCTTTTGAATTCAGGTTCATTTCATTTTAGCAGCGACATGTGGAATATACAATTGGCTTTTTATATTGTTGATTTGTTCCATGTTGTTCCAGCCGTTGTTTTTTTTGAATTGTTGGTATTAAATTGTTGATTTGTTCCATCGTTTGTTGATGTTGTACTTCAGCCTTCTCACCTTCTGATTCAGTTATATTAATTACTCACTTGCATAGCTCCATATGAAATGATTCAGTTGGCGTATGATTTAGGTATTTATCATCTTAAATCTTGCTTAATGTGAATCATCTTCTTCCTACTTACACAGGGTTGGGAGCTTCAAAATCTTGAAGGGTGAGAAATCTCACTCTTAGGCATAGGATTTCAATGTCCCTGCTGTGATTCCGTGTTTTGTGCGATAGTTGTAGTACAAAAAAATTTTAGTTTGACTTTCAGTTTAATGTTCCACCCAAATGAAATCTAAGATTGTTTATATTAAAATTCTAATGGCCATGTCAATCTTTCCCATCATCTTCCTTAGCTTTTAGCTATAGTCCTGGTTCAAACTTTAGTGTCAATTTTCTTCACAGATTCTATGACTTATTTGCACCCTTGCAGATGCAGCCTCTCCAATTCTCCATAATCCTACTCCGGCAGTCGCATGTCCAGCACTCCAAGCTCCAGCGATCTACCGGGGAAGAATTGAACATATAAATGGCGACACTCATGATTGGGAAAATTGAGATCGAGGAGGTTCACTGATGTTTCAGAATATTCTTCCAATCTCTGGTATTTTGTTTTTCTAAGAACTCAAAAGTACTTTCCTGATACTTATTTAGTTGTATCTTGCCCAAATACAAGTTCATTTTTTGCAATCATTTTTTTGTTAGCTTATGCAAATTTGTAGAACATTTTTTGCTTTGGTTGAAGAAGAGGAAAAACCTACCAAGTCAATCTATTTTTGACGAATTAATCAAACTACTTGCTGTTTTCATTCAATTTTTCTTTTAATTTCGCATTGTGGGCTGTGGTACAAATTAAGATTTTTGATGTTATTTCTGAATCATATAAATTGCTGTATATGCTGATATTTGCATATTAAAGAAGTATTAACACTATGTTTGGTTTAAGGAATTTGGAAGGAAAAGAAAAGAAAATGATTTTCCCTCATTTTCCTCACTAAAATGGAAGGAATTTGATTTTCTCTTCTCTTTGTACATTTTGCCTTCTTATTTTCTTTTCCTTCCACTTTTCTTTTCCTCTCTAACCAAACAAGAAAAATGTTTTCTTTCTCATTTTCTTTTCCTTTCCTTCTCAAATTCCTTGAACCAAGCATGTAAATCACTGTGGTTGGCGTTCAAAAAAAATCACCAAGGTCGGTAGTGTGTCATGTGATCTATTAATTTTGAACTTTTTCTATGTATTTCTTTGGAACTTTTTTTGGATTATACCTTTTGCCATTTGGTTGAGATGTATTCAAACTTGATCTCATTGTTGATTGTCTCTCTGCATCTTCTTATGGTGTATTTGTTATATACTACGTATTTTATGTTTGATGGCTATTGGACTAATTTTGTTTTTGACTTCAAAGTTCATTTACTTGATTGTATGAGATACAACCTGATTGCTATAGTTTTGTCCCGTGACTCTCATTTAAATAATGACACTGTACTATTAGCAAGCACATCATGTAGCATCACTACATCAGCATGTTAAACATGCACATTAAAATATTTGAATCAAGCGTTTGAATCAGGTGCAGATACCCTTGAAACATGGAAGCCAAAACCCTGGACATGTTCATCAGAATTATCAAAGGGAGAATTTTCAAAAATGCGTGCTAAACTTTCGGACACTGCCCACAACATGGTGGTTGACTAGGTACTATTTTCTTCCATGGCTTTGATAAGTATTTCTTGATGAGAACTGCTGCAACTTAACTTTCCTTGTGTGTAGACCCTGTGAGGGACAATGTGACTCGGAAAGTCGGGTGCTTGAATATCTTTGTTTTCCAATAAATGGTTGATATGATTGAATTTTTTTCTTTATTAAGGTTTCTTCTTATAAAGTACACTAGTTTCTACGGCAGAGTTGCATGAAATTCTACATTTGCAAGAAAGAGATGTATTACTTCATTATCACGAGTTAATGAGGATAGAGAATTTTTGCAACTGGAATGTAAACAAGGTTGTGAATTTGCTTAGGTTAATTTGTTTGAATTTGCAACAGACATCAGTAATAAATAATGATATAGAATAATTTCGAAATGTAAATATTTTAGGACATCATAAGGTGAAATCAAATATAATGAAGTAAACTTGAGATATTTAAATATCCCCCCGGGGTCCGGATGGGATGAATCCTGCTAACTTTTTTCAGAAAGCTTGGGCCGTGGTGGCCCTGGATGTTACAAATTTTATTCCCTCATGCCTGAATGACGTAGCATTTTCGGAGACTCCGAATGATACTGCCATTGTTTTGGTTCCAAAGAAGCATTCCCCTGAAATGGTTGTAGATTTATGTTCAATTGCGCTATGCAATACTCCCTCTTTCCCAAATTGTTTGCCACATGACGCAAAACAAAGTGTAATTTCAAGTTATTTCGATTCATTTTATTTTAAGATTGGTATATAAATAAAAAATAAATTTATATATTTAAAAATTACGTCAAGAGTTCTTCAAAACAAGAGCTGACAAGAATATGTTATTTTATCTAATAATTGATGAAAATGTAAGAATAAACAAATGTTTTCGCAATTTTTGAATAGTGAACTATGTCATTCTTTTTGGGATGGAGTATTATTTATAAGATTGTGGTGAAGGTGTTAGCGAATAAATAGATTGAAACCCCTTCGGACAATTATTTTGGATACTAGGCTTTTTATCCTGCCAGCTTTTCTCAGATAATATTTTGCTGGCAGCAAAGTTGGGCCATTTTCTCATAAGGAAGCGGACAGGAAAACAAGGTTGGGTTTGGTTGAAACAAGATGTGGCAAAAGCTTATGATTGCATGGAGTGGGACTTCTTGCAGTATATGATGCAGGCCTTAGGGTTTGTTGAACGGTGGATTAATCTTATCATGCTTTGTGTAACCACTGTTTGTTATCGAGTGCTGGTTAATGGCAATTTGTGTGAGGTCATCTCGCCTAAACGAGGTCTTAGACAGGGTGACCTGATTAGCCCTCAACTCTTTATTCTTTTTCTGAGGGTCTCTCCAGGTTTCTTTAGAATGCGTAACATATAGGTGATTTGCATGGAATTTGAGTGGGCCGTGGTGCCCACCTATTACTCATTTATTATTCGTTGGTGACTGCCTTCTTTTCTTGAAGGCATCTATGGAGGAGGCGCTTGTGGTATGTGTTTGTCTAATTGAGTATGAGAAAATTTTAGGCCAGACTGGATTTTCATAAATCTAGTACTCCCTCCGTCCCAAAATATTTGCAACGTTTGCTTTTTCAGCAGTCGCGGGAACTTTTGTTTATTTCTACGTTTTCATTGGTTATTTGATAAAATAAAATATTCTTGACACCTCTTATTTCGAAGAACTTTTCATGTAGTTTTTTAATATGTAAATTTTATTTTTTATTTATATACCAATATGTAAATAAAATGAATTGAAAAAACTTGATATTTTGCCTCGGGAATACATGTGTGGCAAATATTTAGGGACGGAAGGAGTATCTGTTTCAACCTGAATACCCAGCAGATGGTTTTGGTAAGTGCCTTGGTCTTCCCTCTTTTTTTGGGCAGGAATAAGGTGACAGTGTTTGATTTTATCGTGGAAAAGACCCGTCACCGTATTGGTAGATGAAATAAGAAGCTTTTATCTAAAGCAGGGAAGGAGATACTACTCATAGCTGTGGCTCAAGCTATGCTGCAATTTGCAATGAGCGTTTTCTTAAGACTCATGAATGCCTATTGCTGGCGGGGAAAGGATGTTCATGCTCAGACATTCATTAGCTATCTTGGGAGCGTTTGATGGCTCCAAAGAAGTTTGGGGGCCTTGGTTTCAAAGATATTCGTGTGTTTAATGTTGCCATGTTGGGTAAACAGAGATGAAGGTTACTCACTAGAGCCAGTTTTGTTAGTTGCAAGGATCTTTAAATCATGGTATTTCCGAACTTCTCCTTTCATTGAGGCGGAGTTTGGAGGTACACCTAGTTATTGGTAGCGCAACATTCTAGTTGCTCAATCTCTTATCCGCGAGGGGTTCAATGTAGAATTGGAAATGGTGCTAATAATCTTGTGTAGGGTAGCCCTTGGATACCTAAAAATTCCAATCCCATATATTATCTCCACCCCGCCTACCCCTGGATTTAATTGCACTATTTTTTCTATTGTATACAGCAGTAACGGCGATGGGAATTGAGTGAGGCTTCAAATTCTCTTCAACCCTAGGGATGTGCAGTTGATTTCAAGGATTTCTCCTATGTTGAGCAGATGTGAGAGCTTGAGCTTGGCAGGGGAGATGCACAGGTCTTATATTGTGCGAAGTGCTCATCAGAGAGTGATTGGGGAATCCTCTGTTTTGCCTGGTTTTTCTAATTAGAATCAGTTTTGGAAGATTCCAGTGGCTATGGAGATTAAAGTTTGTGTTTGGTGTGCTCTCTGGGGGTGTCCTTCATAGCATTTCCGCTTTTAATTCTAAAGGTATGTTCGATCTATGGGCACCCTATTGTGAGACCTTGGAACATG